AGAAGCATCCGTCATTAAGCTATCGAGTAAGTTGCCAATTTGGATTTGTTTCCTGCGGGCCAGCACTTTGTGAAGACGATTGGCCAATCTATTGTGAATCTGCTGGATTCGAGCATCACCAGTTCTGGCGTGCTCTGTTCTGACTCTGTTCTGCGCTTAATTCGGAGAAGTTTGATGATTGCAGGAGGAAGCTGAAGCTGTCGTTGTTCATTCGCATGCTGCCGGTTTCTAGGAGCAGCTCTTGTTGCAGGTTGTGTTAGCTGGTTCATGAAGATATTGATGGTGTTGTCAATATCGTCCTCCTCTTGAATTTCCATGTTAAGGTCCAATTCCTCCTCCAAGGGCGCCTTGAAAATTCTCATATCGGCAGTATATCGCGAGTATACGATCGCGTAGTGGCTTCCTTAACGGAGTAGTGTACACTTCAGTCAGTGTAGGCGTGTGATCCGAAGAAAGTTCGTGGAGCGTTCGGACATGGATTCTATTGTTGTTGATGCCATTGGTAACAAAGAAATCAATTGCTGATGGAGTAATTTGTGGGTTGTAAGAATAGAAAGTGGGCTCTCGCGTTGCAACAATCTGGTATTGGCTATTAGCTACTATTAGCTACTTTGGCATTGTAGTCACCTGCAGCAATAAGTTTATTTCCAAACTCGGCGAACAGGGATTCAAATCGCACTCTGGTCCGTGGTTCATTGGGTGGGAGATACACGGCCGAAATTTAAACTAGTCCCTCCGATGTTAGCAGATTTACTCTAGCTATTTGCCTGTCCACAGTTGAGATAGAAGGCTGTGGAGTGTAGCTCAATGTGGAACGCACAATGACCGAGGCGAATCCTTTGGCGTTCCCTCTGGGGTGAGAGGTGTGGAAAGAAGAATATCCTGGCAGAAATATACGCTGTCTTTCTTTCATATGTGTTTTAGTGGCTAGAACCGTGACCAGTTCTCGGAATGCCTTGTTTGCCTCCAAAGTTTCTTGAACCAGCTTAAATAATTGGTCCATTCTTCCGTTTATCTCCCTTATCTCCAATGCCAGTAATTTATTTTCAGGCAGCACGTTTGGTTCTCGCTGGGTATGTTTAAGAGCGCTTGACCCAGGTTGAGTCCCTTTGGGGCGAGCTATCTCAGCGTAACAGTGCTAGCAGGGATGAAACTCCGAGTGATGTCCTGGTTATGTTTCGATCTCGAAGTGTTGCTGGAGGCAGGGAGCCTTGGCTTTGGTTTAAGCATTCTGCTTTTTTCAGCCCTGACTGGACATTTCTTGTCTGTTGAAGCATGATCACCTCCACGGTTGATGCACAAATAGTCATCACTATTGCATAGTACCGAACCATTCGTGTGCGAGCCAGCGCACTTGCCATAGATAGGCTCTTGGAAGCAGTAACTTTTTGAGTGACCCAACATATGACATTTGAGACATTGCAAAATTTCGTTTCTACGAGAAGCGCGCTCGACAGAAATCCTGTACTTGCCAAATTTATGTAGTTTTAAGACCTCTCCCACTTGTGGCCCTTGTTTAAGATTGACTCACTTCACCATCTTCAGCGTTAATCTCAATATTGCGCCAGTCTGCCTTTCTGGGACAGTAAATGTTAAGAACTTCAAAGCCAAGCTGATCAAGAGCATTCTTGATATTGGTTGTGGGCACGCTGGCATTAATTCCTTTGATGACTACCCTGTACGGCTTATCCTCCTTGAGTTGATGGTGCCAGTACAGACAATTAAGACTGTTTAAATGCTTAATCGTCGATCGGAAAGCATCAGAGTTGATAGTGTATATTCTTGACACACCGAACTTAGAGGTACTGTAGTTGTCGGCACCAACGCCCGAGTCCAAAGCCATTTTGAAATTTAGGGGGTTGTCAACATTAGGCACACAAGCAACATGAGGCTTTGCGAGCGATTTTTGGGTTTGTTTATTTTTATTAGCACCTACAGGTGTTTCTGGCTCGTCGTCAGAACCAATTTCTGAAATGTCCATCTGCATTACATGGCTAGCTTCTTCGTCCAGAGCTGCAAAGCGTTTATTACTTAGTGCCGCTGCCTTCGAGGTGGATGCCGAATAATCCAGTCTCTCCTTTGAGCTTTTCGCGACTTTCACCTTAGCTTTAGTGATGTTTTTGGGTGGGCTTGCTGAAACTTTAATCTTCTTGCTTACGGGCTGCTCATGGGATTGAAAGGAACATATTTTCTTTCGAGCCATTGTTGAGAAGAAAAAACGATGTATTAGCGGTCGATGTAGCCAAAGCAGAGGAAACATTGGAACCCACTGTAGAAGCCACAGTATATGTAGAAGCAGATATCAAACTGCTTTGAGATGAAGATATTGTGCAGGTAACGCTGGTATCACTGCTGGTTGTAATTGTCAGAGACGAGGTAGTTAAACTAGCCGATTTGCTATGGTAATCAGCGTAAATTTGGCTTCTTCCCATGTGCTACTATCCATTTCCGATTAGGCAAATAGAAATTAAAAACATAGTCTTTAAAAGTCTTAACTTGCTGCCTCACGCCAGGCAGTGCGACCAGGCTCGTTCACAATAATTGTACTTTGGTTCAGTTTGTTCCATTTAGCGAAAAATAATAGAGACACTGGAGGGCGGTGTCTAAAATTAGATTGCGCGCAGATAAGAGATCACTCTGTGGTTGCTGATTAGCACGAACGTCCGAAACAATTGCATAAACTCTGTTGAGCTAACAAGCCTTTTTGTCAGCTATTTTAAAAACAAATCACAAGGCGAGATAAATTCAATATTTCAGTTTATTAACGTTATAAATGTATGCAAGGGCTACGGGCTTTGCGAACACCGCAGCTTGCTATCAACAACAACAAATGTATGCGCTGGCGACGGACCGTAGGCGTTGAGAGGCGGGCTCTGACTCCAATTAATAGAGAGATAAGAGGAGCCGCTTAGAAATGAGTGGATCTGACTCTCTATTTAGTTGGAGTGGTTTGCCGCTGCGCTCAACAAACTCAAAATAAAATCAGGAGCTACACACGGATTTCGACCAGGCTAGTTGCCATTCGCACAGAACTAAAATAATAATACAATGATTAGTCCTTAGCCCTAAACTGTAACGACCTGATTCTTTATTTCTGCTCGCTACGTAAACGTGCGGCTAGCTCAGAGAGGTTGTGAGTTCGTTCCACCAAATTTATATTGAGTGACCGCCCGTGACCAAAGGATAACGCCAGAAATGATTAGGTTGGTACTGGTTTATTGACTCTCTAAAATATAGCCTTATTGCTATTATTCTGCTGCCCGTTGTCGCTGTCTCCTGCTGCGTTGCTCCTAGCTCGCTGCTGCTCTGCTCCTGGCGTGCTGCTGCGTCGCTCCTGGCTTACCGCTGTGTTGCTTCGGCTTGCTGCTCCGGGTGACTGAGATCGGAACGACTCCACCAAAACCCTGGATGTTATGCGAGCTTCCCTACCGGGGCCGGCAAGGTGTATCGCCTAGCAGGTGAACCGAAGTTACGCCTTATCGCCTAGCCACCTTTATCGCCTGGCTTCCGGAGTTCAGCCTGGACTTTGTCGGCAAGGTGTATCGCCTAGCAGGTAGAACAAAGTTCTCCCTTATCGCCTAGCCACCTTTATCGCCTGACACCGCGCAAGGACTCCCTAAGCTTGACTTTATCACGACCTAGCACCGTTGGATCTCAGCGTTGTAGCCTCAGCCTTGTAGACTTGTCGTCGTTCGGCGTCTCGACTTTGCGATCTTGATCCTTGGGCACTTCGGTTTCGATGTTTACTTATTCCACGTTCACGCACTCGCTCTGATTCTCGCACTCGTACTGTCTCGAGCTGCGCTTGCGCCGTCCTTTTTATAGGCGCTGTAGGTGCCGTTATTTCCCTCGGGTCCAAGGTCCACTGAGGTACCGTTAATTCACGGTGTGTCCTCTTTGGGCGGGTCCAAAGTCCGCCAATTCACCGTTTGACCTCGTTGCCCTTGCCATATGAGGGTCCAAGGTCCGAATGTTTCCCGTTTGACCTGGATGCCCTTCATTTCTCCGGTTTTCTCGCCTCCTCCGCTGTTGCTAGGCCATGTTGCAGGAGATCGCATCGGGATTTGTGGGGAGTTTATGACTCCTCACATTTCCCCCTTCCTTCGGAAACGTAATGAAAGTGGTGACTTTCCCCGCCCTTTATGTTTAGACTACTCGAATTCCCCGCCTGACTTGCGTGTTAGATGTTCCCCAGACAGTTCCCCGAAAGACTTAACCTTTCCCCAGACTGTTCTCCTAAAAGACTTTACCCGTACAGCTCCTTGAAAGACTTGTTCTTTCCCGCGACTGTTTCCCTAAAAGACTTTTCCATGCAGCTCCTTGAAAGATTATTTCCCCAGACTGTTTCCCTGTTCCCCAGACAGTTGCCCGTTCTCCAGACAGTTCCCAGTTCCCCAGATAGTTCCCAGTTCCCATTTCCCAGACAGTTCCCAGTTCCCCAGACAGTTCCCAGTTCCCCAGACAGTTCCCTGCGTGGAATTCGAATTTTCCCGCCCAGACATTTCCCCAAACTAAAAGTCACCATTTCGTTTTCCCTCGGTCCGGCAACTCCCTGGAATCTCACCACGATCGCGTTTATCGATTGTGGGTTCCAGTGTTGCTATCGTCGTTGCCTTTTCGTTGTCTTAAGTTGCCATTTGAATTCTTGAACATAGAAATAACCAATTTTGTTAACCCATCGATCGCAACTATCGATCGACCGCCTATCTCGGCGCCCCCGTCCCTATTACCTATGTCCGGCAACCCGTTACCCCAAAATGTAAATAAACAAATCACTTTGCGTGTTACAACCATAAAAGGCCTTTTATTGGGCCCTCAAGACCCTTACTACTCCGCTTGCCACCCGGATGCGGTAGCGGACGCCATCCACCACTATCAGCTTGGCCCAGCGGCTGCTCCGCGCCCTTCTCACCTGCCTGCTGGCCTCGGATTCCACCCTCGGCGGCCACCCTCCCTCGGCAATCTCTTCCCAGCGGCTGCTGTCCGCCGAAGTTTGTCGGCTAATCGACGGCCTTGCTGGTGGCGACCGCGGCTCCGGGCACGATGTCATCCTGGCGACTTTGGGCGGCCGTGCGGCTGGCTCTCCTGGCGGCGGCCACACCCAGGGCCCCTTCTCCCAAAACTCCGGCTCCCCACCGAGCCGTTTGGCTGGCAACGGCGCTGGCGTTAGCACCCACGGCGGCGGTGGAGGCGGCGGTGTCTCCGCTCCGTGCCGTGGTGCCTGGAATGGCCGTGGTGCCTGCGGCGGTGACGGTGGTAGCAGTGGCGGTGCTGCGGCCCGAGGCTGCGACGGTGGTGGCGGTGGCGGTGGCGGTGCTGCTCCCTGGGGCGGCGACGGTGGTGGCGGTGGCGGTGCTGCGGCCCGAGGCTGCGACTGGTGGTGGCGGTGGCGGTGGCGGTGCTGCGGCCCGAGGCTGCGACGGTGGTGGCGGTGGCGGTGGCGGTGCTGCGGCCCGAGGCTGCGACGGTGGTGGCGGTGGCGGTGCTGCTCCCTGGGGCGGCGACGGTGGTGGCGGTGGCGGTGCTGCGGCCCGGGGCGGCGACGGTGGTGGCGGTGGCGGTTGCGACAGCGGTGGCGAAGGCGGTGGAGGCGCTTGCAGCGGCAGCTGCTCCGGAGGGCCTGGCCGGGCCCATAACGCTGCCTCTTCGGCCTCAGCCTCGTCCAGCCGCTTCTGCCACTCCCTGGCTGCTGCGGCTGCCCGTGCGACCGCCCACTGCGCGAACACTCGCCGCACCACCTCTGCCCGGGTTGCGAGTATACGCACTGCCTCCTCCGGGCGGCCCGATGGCGCTGCGTCGCCCAACCGGATCCGCCCGAATCCGGCTGCGGCCCTCCTTATACGGCGGAATGCCATCCGGGCCTTTGCCGCCCGACGGGGATCGTCCTCCTCGTCCGAGGAGACCTCCGGACTCACCGTCTCCGTCCCGGTGTCCTCCTGGGCTTCCTCCTCCTCCTCCTCGGACGAGGACAGGCTGATGGTCGGCACCTCAGCCTCCTGCCCTGCCGACCGGACGCCGGCCTCCTCCTCCTCCTCTAGCTCCACGTCGGTGATCCGACCTTCGTCCTCCGTTTCTGGGTTCGGAGACGGGGACCGCGACACCAGGGGGGACGCCAGCAGCTGGAGTGCGGAACCTGAGTCCCGCCTCCATCTCGCCGCTGGCTGTTGCCCGGTGCTGCCTCCCCGCCCCTCTCCCCTTATGACTTGGCTGTTGCTGCTGCTGCGTGCTGGCATCTTGGCGACCTGATTTAAATAGGCCCGTCTTGTGGCGCTCGCGCGCTGACGAAACCTCGGTTGCCCATGTTTCCGGTTCCGTTATCCGCGGCGGCCTTTGGACTTTCCCTTGCTACGGGCTCCGACGGGTCCCCGCTTTGGTATGCGTTACCCGGTAACGGTATCCGCATCCTATGACCCTCCCTCGCCACCACCGTCGCCGCCCCACGTTGGGCGCCAGATGTAACGACCTGATTCTTTATTTCTGCTCGCTACGTAAACGTGCGGCTAGCTCAGAGAGGTTGTGAGTTCGTTCCACCAAATTTACATTGAGTGACCGCCCGTGACCAAAGGATAACGCCAGAAATGATTAGGTTGGTGCTGGTTTATTGACTCTCTAAAATATAGCCTTATTGCTATTATTCTGCTGCCCGTTGTCGCTGTCTCCTGCTGCGTTGCTCCTGGCTCGCTGCTGCTCTGCTCCTGGCGTGCTGCTGCGTCGCTCCTGGCTTACCGCTGTGTTGCTTCGGCTTGCTGCTCCGGGTGACTGAGATCGGAACGACTCCACCAAAACCCTGGATGTTATGCGAGCTTTCCTACCGGGGCCGGCAAGGTGTATCGCCTAGCAGGTGAACCGAAGTTACGCCTTATCGCCTAGCCACCTTTATCGCCTGGCTTCCGGAGTTCAGCCTGGACTTTGTCGGCGAGGTGTATCGCCTAGCAGGTAGAACAAAGTTCTCCCTTATCGCCTAGCCACCTTTATCGCCTGACACCGCGCAAGGACTCCCTAAGCTTGACTTTATCACGACCTAGCACCGTTGGATCTCAGCGTTGTAGCCTCAGCCTTGTAGACTTGTCGTCGTTCGGCGTCTCGACTTTGCGATCTTGATCCTTGGGCACTTCGGTTTCGATGTTTACTTATTCCACGTTCACGCACTCGCTCTGATTCTCGCACTCGTACTGTCTCGAGCTGCGCTTGCGCCGTCCTTTTTATAGGCGCTGTAGGTGCCGTTATTTCCCTCGGGTCCAAGGTCCACTGAGGTACCGTTAATTCACGGTGTGTCCTCTTTGGGCGGGTCCGAAGTCCGCCAATTTACCGTATGACCCCGTTGCCCTTGCCGGGCGCGGGTCCAAGGTCCATCGAGGTACCGTTAATTCACGGTGTGTCCTCTTTAGGCGGGTCCAAAGTCCGCCAATTCACCGTTTGACCTCGTTGCCCTTGCCATATGAGGGTCCAAGGTCCGAATGTTCCCCGTTTGACCTGGATGCCCTTCATTTCTCCGGTTTTCTCGCCTCCTCCGCTGTTGCTAGGCCGATCTCCTGCATCGGGATTTGTGGGGAGTTTATGACTCCTCACAAAACATACATACGCTGCCTACGCAATGGAGTGCTGATTGGGTTCGAATGATTACATGTTGCTTAACTCAGATTTATATTACATTGAAAATTATATATATATATATCAAAGCAAACAATACTACAAATTTACGTTAATACGCCCAAGCTTAAATCTTGACTAAGTCATACACAGATAACTTGCCAACGCTTAGGCTCAATACCGTCCTAACCTTTACATCGAGTGGTATGTATGCCCTAGCACGTGGTTGGAAACTTGTCGCCGACATTGAACACTCTGTTTTGTCGGGAGGCATTTTCCCTGCTTCTCAGCTTATTTTGGGCATGCCTTATCCTATCCTGTATATCGCAGTGCGGGTCACTTGATTGTGTGGCCGGTCTCTTATCGATGACCGAATGGATAGACTTGTTGTACTTAGACTTGGCCAGCAAGATCAACTCTACAGTGCCGCTAAAGCCTTTGTCAGTTTTAAGCAGAGCTCGCAAATACCTGTCGACCGTTTCTTGTTGTCTGCAAATAAGTCTCTTTTCCTGACTCTTTACGAAAAGACTCAGAGAGCAACCGATTTATGGGTTCTTGAATGAGCTCGCTCGCGCTCTGAGCGAAACCGTTTTTTACTATTCTGTTTGGTTCTGGTTGTTCCAAGACCGTTTCAGTTAAGCAAAAGGTCTTTTGCGTTTTTTTCGTTAAGCGTCTGTTTTGCAGATATATGGAATATGGAATCAAAATGGAACTTGTTTACAAAAATATTTGAAAATAAATTTAAAATTCTCTATTAAACAAATTATATTATTTCTTTTTCGCAACAACGAAAGTAAATGTGGAGACCGTTTGCATTGAGTTTTTCGGTCAATCGGTCTTTTGATGACTCTCATTTTGCGACCGTTTCTCATTCCGCTCTTTACGCACTGCTCATTGAAAGAGCGATATACAAAGATCTCAACGAAAAGCGCTCAACAGAAAACATAAATGAAGACAGCAAGAGTCTCTTGCTCAGAGCGAGAGCGAGAAAGTATGAACTTTTTCGGTTGTGCTCGCAACGAGAGCGCAAGAAGAATAACGGTCAACAGTTATTTGCGAGCTATGGTTTTAAGGCATCTGGCAAGTTTCACCAGAGTGCTGTGGAATCGCTCCACTGTCCGTTCGAGACGCTGTGGAGTGGCGGAGCATTTGAGATGCTAACTCCGAAGTGATTTCCCAGCATGGCCCGAAAGGTGTGCGAGTTCAATGAGGGTTCATTGTCGCAGTAAATGACTCTGGCTTTAGGGAAGACGTTAAGGAGTTGTAGTAAAGCCGGTTTGAGTTCCTTATATGGTTCTATTGAAAACTTTGAAAATTTGTCAATGCATGTGAGAAAGTATTTCCTATCAGTGGAGAAAATGTCTATGTGTAGCATTTCTTCCACATGAGACGGTACTGGCGTTTCGCCGAGGAGATTTATAATCGCATCAAAATTCAATACAGTGCCAGAGATAGCACGGCATCAGCAGGGCCCCTAATTTCGCTCCTAATAATAATTACTGCCTGTTAATGGCGTGAGCTATTTACATAATTTCTAAATATAAAATATGCAGCTACCGCCGCTTGCCACCAAGAGACATATGTCTCTTGTGCCCCCGTAAATTCGGGCAGGCATTTAACGGCGTCTAGGGGCTCGTTGCATTGAACATTGCCTGTGATAAAAATGGGTTCATAAACTTTAATCTGGGGGGTTTCTATCTGGGAGGGTGATATCCGCGCCTCTGCCATTTGCCTAACTAAGTCTTTTATAGTTTTGCGCATTTCATTCTCCCTGCGCTGGTCCTCGTCAGCCTTTTCTGTCATCCAGGCGGCTGGATGTAGCTGTTCCGCATTTATGGACATGTTTGTATTGGGAGCGGCACTGGTAGCCGACTGCCTCGGTTTAGAAGTAATTAGAAGCCTCTCAGAGTCTGACTCTGAGTCGCTATTTTGTTTGGTATACCTATAATTTAGGAATGACATGGACAGCAATGCTAAATTCCATTAACCAAGAGTGCATGCCTAAGCAGCCTTACATAAACAAAATTGTACAGCAAAGGGGCCGTGGCGGCTGAGCTGCCGCTATGGTAAACAAAGAAGCGAAGCTTACAGAATCGAAATGTGAATGCGCGGTCCCAGGTTCGCGTACCGGCGCGGAGCGGGGAAGCAGTAAAAAAACAAAAAAAAGTAGAAAACACAACGACACAAAAGGCCTAAATTAAATGCCCACAATTCGATGAGACAGTTCTGTCGCCAATAAAATTATTTAAATAAATTAACAATTTATTTATTTCCCAGCGGCGCTCTTGCGCCGAGGCCGAGATATTTAATATTATATTTGTATTTTATATGTGGCCGTAATGTAGATGTTCAGCACTGAGATTTCCATATGTCTGATATATTTATATTTTTAGCAATTAAAAATGCAAACAATACACAGAAACAAATATAATAATAACGCATATAATTCCACAATTTAAAATTCCACCAAATAATGAGTATGTTAATTAATATTGGATTTATTTTTTAAATTAACACCAAATTATGGAAGCGGAGCTGCAGAAAATATTCTGGCAGTGATTTACTTGTTTTATTTATTCGAGCTGCAGAAGAATATTCTGGCCTCGATTTATTTGTTTTATTTATAAGTTACACACAAAAGCAGATGCCGGGAAGTATAAGGACTGAGGTGATCACTTACATGATCCCTATTATACCGCTGTAGGTACTTTTGCGTTTAGCGCCAATTAATATAAATGATTATCCCAATTGTGAATTGCCGTCGGCAATTGATATCTCCACAAGTGGTCCCTCGCAGTTGCAGATAATGCAAAGGGTGCGGGTGACAAGGTCCCCCGCTGTGGTTGCTGGCCGGCTGGCCGAAGAATTCTCCAAGATGAATTATGAAGATTACGTTGGAAGGGTGACTGCCCTTCTTTACCTGCTGGCGTAGGGACTCAGACAGTTTTTCAATGATAAGAATTTAACGACGGTTGTCGGAGTAGAATTTGCATGAGCCGCAGCTCTTTATTCATATAAAGTCAAATCTAAACTGAAATTTTAAGCTAACAAAAAAGAGAGTCAAAATGGCCACTCCAATGGGTAGTGCTTGCCGGCTATGCACGAGCTTCCGGCCAGACGCTGTGTCAGCAATTTGGCCGGAGCGAGCCTTCGGACGATCGGTCATTGCCGTCGCCCGGTTAACTTAGTTAACTTATATATCTTCAAAATTTTTTATAATTTTATTATATTTATATTATATTATATTTAATTAATTTTATGTGTGTATATATGTTTGTACTTATTTAGGTGTCGTAATCAACTATTTTTCCGTTTCGCGTGGTGTATTCGTCTCCACATTTTTAAGTCTAGTCCAACTTGAATTTGGTAATACTACTTGCATTGTTGAGGGCGTTAAAAATTGTCCTACAAATTAAATATAGAAAACCTGATTGGTATCGGTACCGACAATGCTAATGTTATGATAGGCACAAACAGAAGTGTCTACACGGAATTGAAGAAGGAGGTCCCACATCTTATTTTGGTAAAATGCGTCTGCCATTCTGTGCAGCTTGCCGTTAGCCAAGTTTGTAAAAAGCATGTGCCAGAGAATTTGGAATTTTTAATATACGAAACCTATAATTGATTTTGCACAAGTTCATCT